TTTAATATGATTAGTTGTTAGATCATGTACAGTTTTTGTTGTATTACTAGTTGATGTTCGATGTGGACAAAAAGCTATTTCATCATCATGTCTTTGAATGATATTAGCAGACATTGAACGTTGATGCATATGATGTTGAGCACGTTCTTCAGTTAAAAATACAGGTGATGGTAATTGTTTTGATGATTTTGGTAACGGTGGTTTTTTTGTTACTATTGTTTCATGCTTTTTTTGTACTTGTTTTTCCTGAGTATAGTTAGGCATATCAATTGATGATGTTGGCATTTGATTGTAATAATCACGTTCAACTTGTGCTAATTGTACACGTTGTTCGAGACGAAGTTTTTCAAGCGTATCAAGAAATGATGAATCACTATTTTGATTAGCATTTTCGACTTTTTCAAGTAATTTTTGTTTATATTCATCATTATTAGATGTGTTGCTATGAATTTTATGACTTAATGAATTGAGATTATTGAAGTTTTCACGTGAATTATACTGATCAATCATTGAATTACTTGACATTCTATAGTTTTAACTGACTGAAGAAGAAACTAAAAGAAGAATTATTAGATTATCAATAGAGAAAGACATTATTTAGGTAGTTACCAAGGTTATCTCCGGTTTCAGCCTCTAGAGTGTTGATGAACGATGTATATTCAATACTACACAGCGCCCTCTGACGAATGTAATGAAAATTAAAGATCTATTACAAAAAAGAAGTCTATATCTCGATATTGACTATGATAGATTTGATTCTGTTTTATTTATTTTCCAATATTCGAGTTGATGAAAAACAATTCCTCAATTGAAATTACACTAATCAATCAATAGATCTTTTTTTTAATAACATGAAAATAAATGATCTGAAGACAAAAGTAAAACGTTGTTGTTTGTTTGAAGAAATAAATTTCCTACATAATTCATTTGCAAACACACATCTTCTAGTACATTATATGCACTCATAGTTATAATTGAATGTTCATGAATAAGTTTATCGTAAACTTTCATCATATTATAAAAAGACAAATTTCTCTGAATATTTAATATCAATTATTAGATTTTGCTCTTGATTTACATTCAATTCTGTTTTGAAAATCCTTCCTCTATGAATGATAAGAACTTTGCAGCAGTATTATGATGATTGTGTCCAACGTTCAGGTCTGGTCGTTTCTTCCCAGAAACAGGAAAATCCGACAATCATATTTTGAGCTTTCCCTGTCTCACAAATTTTCGAGATTTTCTGTGCACAATTAATCGTACATTATTTATATGGGTATACTATTATTCAAAACAAATTAACTATGCAATTACTAATATTCATTAAACTTTATGGTTACAATAGATAATTGCATTCTCTTGTACGGGTGGACAGTGATCATAATACAATATTGTATACTTTCAATAATTTATTCTTAAAATATTACTTTTTAAAATAGAAATTCCATGGCGAAATCATAAGACAAGAATTATTTGTTATATATTTATCCGTATTACAATATTTCATGTGCATAGAGATGAATATATGTAAAGAAAAGATAAAACTTATATTTAAAAATACTTTGGATATTTTGTAAAATTTTATTGGTTTTAATATCACTATGTTGAATAGATTAGATTATTTTAAATAGATTTTCGAACATCATCTAATTTAAAGACAGTTGTACAAAGATATTTTCCGGTTTTGTTTTCATAAAGAACAAGAAAGACTGGTTATCCCATGAAATAAAATAAGCCATTTACAAAATACAGAAGAGTAGTTTATTTTAAGATTTGAAATTGGATATGCTCGTCTTCCTTTGTTTTCAATAGTTTCACAAGTTAAAAATACAATCTTGAAAATAGAAACATCGTTCTATGAATATACTTCAATGAGAAAAACAATATAATTGCAAATGATCACTGTAATCATTAGATCAGTTTTAACAGCGCATCAACATCTATCAACCAAGAGAATAATTTATACAAAATAAAACATATATAGTTGTCACTTTTTCCTTGACTGATTATTTTTGTGAAACAAGATTTAAAGAAAATATTGAAGTACAAGGGTAGAGATTCAAATTTCCTCTTCTAACAAAGATATGACAAACATGTCAGAAACGACTTATCACAGACGTGACAGACAGCATGAGAAGACCATCACAAACTGTGATAAATAAAAAGCTATAAGATCAATGATTACCGTGGGATTAGCATGATAGTTGTGTTTTACTATTCTTTTATATTCACTGTAAAATATTGTGATTAATATATTTCATGATCGAAATGCATAAACAGTTGATAGGAATTCATAAACTGAATCATATATTAATTTATTCTTTCTATTTATAATGCCAAAAGTTTCATTATGTTTCATATATTAGTTTCACAGATATTTTGCTAATAGTTTTCTTCTCTTCATTTTATCCTGTAAATTATAACCTAACGAATGGAGCATATGTTTTAAGTCGATTTGGTTTTCGATAAATTGTTGCAATACAGCATCGTAGAGACATCATCGTGGCTTTTTATTCGAAACGGTAAAATATTTAGTATAAAAATATACTGAAAATACGAAATTGAAAATATTTCTCAAACACACACAAAAAGTCTTAATACAAAAGTTATCGATAAATATTTTATTGAAATGTATTTGTTTGAACTTTTTCATTATGCGCTTACGATGTTTTCCAACATTATATCTACACCGTTGTTCATTGCAATGAAGACTTTCATGCGATATTAATACAATTAATCTAATACACAAGAGACTGAACAAAAAAATGGTTTAGTTAAAAATTCAATTCGGCTTTGACAATACGCAAAACTAAAAATTTTGTCTGACTATGATACGAAGAAACTATGTTGTTCTTTTTCATATAAAATATTTTGGCTCTCGTAACTTCTTTCTAAGAATAGAATTTAGTTTATTCACTGCCATCACATTGATGAAAAATTGATGATATCACAATATGTTATATAAGCATTTATATCGGTTGTTATGAAACATATGAAATAGTACTTTTTTTTAGGACAATAATAGTGCCTTGTCTTTATGTTATAAGACTCGAAAAAGTGAATAAGAAGAAAATTGTTCTAATTAGATGAGATGTTTTCGAAATGCAAAAAAGTTTTCCATTACCTTTTCTTCTAAAGTGGTTAAACTTGTCAATCGGGTTTTTTTTTTACTTTTATCTGTTGTGTTTCCAATAATAGACGTATCCGTAATCATTCATTGTCTATAAATGGGTACAAGTTCATAGAGTACAAAAGTAAATCAAACTATAAATATTGCTAAAAATAATAAACTTAAATAACCTTGTTTTTTCTTACTTACTTGATGTACTTCTATTAATTGTTACTCAACGTTAGCAACAAATATCATAATGTATACGATGTCAAAATTATGAATTTACATCATAATTAGATGATTAGAAATTTTTTTTGTAATCGGAAAAATTCCATTTATGCTAAATTTACATTGATTCCGCAACGATAACGAGTCACGCTGGTACAATTATATGCATCAATTATAAAAGAATTATTATATAATATAAACGCTGTTTTATGCAATGGCTAGAAAAAAAAACGAAGGAAATGAAATGTCATATGGAATAGATCAACATTGAGCTTGGCTGTGCTTGCTAAACATGCCAGGGAATTATGAAGAGAGTTCAAATGATGTTAAAGTATGATCAAACAATACGAATTTCATTTAATGAATATTTTTATTTTCAAAAATCATTTTTGAACAAGCTCAAATAATTAATGAAACAATTTGTGACTAACCGTGATCGAGAATCCAGTACTCTAAGATCTAATGAATTGAATGTCTCTTTAAATACGACTAGAACTTATTACATGCTATCAAAAAACAAAACTATTGATTATAGATAAATCTGAATGGTCCATATAGATATGACTATAGTTTTTGATAAAATCTATTCTATTGTGCCATTCAAATATTGCACAAAATCACTAATAATGTTCTTGACATAACTATTTACATTCAGAAGCATAAAATACCTTGTGAAAGAAAAAAAAATATATATTAGTAGATGTCTCTTTTCATAAAACATTTCTTTTAACGTGTTATGGTTACCTTTTCGACCTTGATTTTTCTCTCAAGCAAATGTAATAGAAAATAATTTTTTTATAATGATATTCATTCAACTATTTGACGTCTTTTTCTCTTGAGAAGAATCTATAATAGAAAAGAAAAAACTACGAAAAGATCTATCATCAAGTTAAAAATATAAAACTAGAAGTATATCTGTTGATTATAATCATGCATTAGTCATCGACATAGCTGCCAGCTATGATAAGAACAAAAAAAAAGAAACTTTAATTAACTTCATATTTGACTTGTAAAAAGTTTTTTTCCATAACTAGTGTTCCAAAAAAAGATTAGAGATTTGCTAGATGTTTGATCAAAAACGAATTGATTAATCCTAAAAGGTGGATGTAAAAACATATTACAAAATCATAATTCAGCTGGTGTCACTTGTGTAAGATGAAAATTTTTGGTTTTATAAAAATCAATCGCTTGACGATGTAACAGACTGTTGTAAAATTATTATAACAAATCACTTGAATGTCATATGAAGAATGAACTAAATAATAAATTTTGAAAGACTTATGCTTAAGTCATCTTCACTCGATCTACACATTTTTAGTTGATTTCTCAAAACGGTATTTGATCATTTATTAATTCAGTCGAAGTACTACAACTTTATTACTTACAAATTCAACATCTTTCAATGGTGTATCTTCAGCAAAATTTTCAAATATTTGTTTAATAAATTCTTTATTAACATTGTGCAACTATGCGAATTTTTTTATTTGTTGAAAAGAGATAAATTTTGACATAGATTTTATCAAATATTTTTTTTTTTTTTGAAGTTTTACTCTCATATGTATATACTTAAATAATCAAAATGAAAGGCGATATCTTTACATGTAGTAGACCTCAAAATAAGATAATTTGGTGAATAAAAATGAGACTATTTGTTTAATATTTTGAAACATGTGGCAAAAAATCAACTATAACAAGCTTATCACTGGCTGTTGTTAACTCGTCCTGTAACTTATCGTTGAATATATCTTAGACAGATATAAAGAATTAAACAAAAAAAAACTTCTAACAAACAAAATATAAAGAAAAAAAAAAAAAACTTTTTTCTGGAATTTTTTTATTGCCGGCCACTTAAAAGAGAGTAAACGAGAGAGACGAATAAACAATATGGATGATATACGTAAATAGAAAAAGAAAAAAGAAACTAGAACAATCAATAAGAGATAAAACGAAAAGGCAAATAAAAAGACCAAAGAAATATATATATATATATATTCATCATCATCATCATCATCAACATATTCAGCAAATAGACAATACGAACACAGAAGAAAAAGAAAATCTTTCACTACTGTCATACACTTTCTTAGATATTTTTTTTTTCCAAATTAAAAATAAACAATAAATGAAAAAGAAACAAAGGAAGAGAAATGGAATTCTTATGTTTATAAATGGCCGATATTTTGTTTTTCATCTTATATGCATGTTGTTTAGTTTATTGTGCAACGACATCGACAAACAAAAAAAAAAGAAAGAAAATCAAGGAGTTAAAGGATCGCAAAAAAAAAAAAAAGAAAACGTAGAATATATATTAGTTATGTGTGTATAAATATCAGCCGGCATATTTTCATAAAAATTCTTGTTTTTGTTTTCTTCTTCTAACAACAACCACCTGATTGTTGTACTGGTTTTCCAGGCGCAGTCACATGAACACCGGACGTTGGTTTATTCGATGTTCCTGATTGTACTGATGCCATACGAGACTTAATTTCTGTTGCCATTGTCATAAATGCCTGTTCGACATTTGTTGAATTTTTTGCCGATGTTTCCAAAAATGGAATATTTAATGAATCAGCATATTCCTAAATAAAAATATTCATTCATGTTTGCTTTTATTTTTCAACTTACTTTTGCTTTCGTATATTCAACAGCTTTTTTAGCTGTTAAATCACATTTATTACCAACTAATAATTTATTAACATTTTCACTTGCATAACGATCAATTTCTTGGAGCCACTGTTTTACATTATTAAATGATTCCTATGAAATAAAAATTTGTTTTTTTTTTTTTAATTTTGCTTTTCTTATTTAATCATATTTATACTTGATCTGTCACATCATAGACGACAATAATACCATGTGCACCACGATAGTAGCTACTTGTGATTGTACGAAATCGTTCTTGACCAGCAGTATCCCACTAAAACAGATAGTTTGTTTTTTTTTTTTTGTTTTTTGATGTCATAAAAACAAACTCACAATTTGTAATTTGATCGTTTTACCATCAAGATCAATTGTTCGAATTTTCTATATAGAAATTAATAATAAAAAAAAAAACAGAATCATATTAAATAAACAAACATACAAAATCAACACCGATCGTACTGATATAACTTTCTGTATAAGTATCATCCTAAACAAATAAAAATATATTTACATAATTTATTTTAATAGGAAAAATTATTTTACATACAGCAAATCGTAATAAAAGACATGATTTACCAACACCGGAATCTCCGATGAGTAATAATTTAAAAAGATAATCGCTAGAAAAAAAATAAAAATAAAAATCAACTATTTATTTTCGAATATTAATATTCAATGACTCACTATTCAGGATTCATAATATCTGTGAATGGTTTTTGTTTTATTATATATTATAGGAGATCTCAGTTTGATCTACAAAAAAAACAAAATAAAATGAAAGATATGAAATGATAATCAACTCTCGTAGAATAAACAGGTGAGAATAAGATGATGATGATGATGATGATGAATCGTATGTCTACGTTGATGGCTGCCTTTTTAAAAAAAGTTCAACCACTACGTTGATTACTTTTGTAATTGATGAGAGAAATTTAAAATAAAAAATTATAAAAAGACATTAAAAAGATGATTTTAAGATAGAAAAGTTAAATTACGATGTTATAAACTGAACTATAGATTAAATGCATGACTAATTTAAAAATATCTAGAACATGAATGAAAAAATTGGAGAACTAAATAACCAATAGAAATGTGATGAATCATTAATCGACAAACAGCTGGTGATGTGGATCGAAAAGAATATTACGAAGAAGAAAAAGAAAAGAATAATAAATCTGTTTTTTTGTTTGTTTGTATTAGAGAAAGAATGAATAGAAGAAAGAATATTTTTTTTTCAGAAATCTTATCGATCAACATTGTTCTCAAAACATATGCACTATCTAAAATATTTTGTTTTTTATTATTTATTAAATCAATAAATCTGCAAAAAAAGAAATATACACAAATAGAAGATAATCTTCATATACATAGATCTATATATTTATCTAGTAAAAAATAATAAAGATATATATATATATACATTATTTTATCTGACATAAAATATCTACATCAATTTAATAAATCTATGTTTTAAACTATTTTTCTTTATCTTTCGATTTTTTATTTGGTACATTTTCAGCACGTGAAACTGTCGATATTCCATTAACAAATTTTGTTGTAAATAATACATTTGCATTTGAAAACATTCCATCTTTTAATGAAACAATTATAAATTGTGCATTACGAAAACTTTTTCTTATAACTAAACCAATATTTTGTGTATGTGACATATCTAAAGCAGCATCAACTTCATCAAGAATATATAATGGTGCTGGACTATATTGAAGTAATGCTAAAACTAATGAAAGACCAGCTAATGAACGTTGACCACCACTTAATTCATCTAATGTTTCTTTCCATAATGAACCAAATTGTACTTTTATTTCAAGACCTGTTAAAACAAGATCTTTTGGTGCACGATCAGCATCATAATGACCATTTAATGATGTTAATTTTGCATTTGCATTATGTAATAATGTTGAAAATATTTCACCAAAAGATTTATTAACACGTTGCCATGCTATACGTAATGCTTCTTGTTTTTTCTTATCCCATTCAGCAACAACACGTTCAATATTAGCTTTATCTTTAAGTACTTTCTTTTGTTTGGTTAATAACTAGACAAAAAACAACAAACACATATTAACACATTTATAGAAGCATTCTAAAAAGCTAAATAAGAAAAGAATCAAACTTTTCTAAAGTATTATTTTGCGTATTCGATAAGTAAATATCATATTTGTAGAAGAATACTCTTGCTATTAAACTACTTTCAGAATTCCTCAGAGATACTGACTAATCACAAGAGCAAATGTATGTCATAATGTAGTAAGCATGTTATTGAACGAGTAAATAGCCGTTAGGAACTTGTCCGAAGGCTGTTCATACTGAGATTTACATACAGTACCTTGTAGATATGTGTCAACGTATATGCATATCAATTGTAGCTATTTGTTTTAGGACATGATGACATAAATGAATTAGAAAAAAAAACGAGAAAAGAAAGTGAAATCATAGAAAATATTATTACACTCATAAAGAGTTATGATCAAGTCTAATTTCAGGCTTTGAGATGGTATAGATATTAATTCGTTTAGAATTTTTCTTATTCGTATTGAAAAATGTCATGTTTTGTTATAGTCAATTATCAAATTGTTACATAATAAACAAGTGTGAATTACTAGACAATCGTTACACATATATAGCTACTTGATGTTCTCTTCTTTCTTTTCTATCTATTTCTCTTAAATATTGTCTTTTGTCAATCTATCGACTCATCTTCTTTTCTCATTAATTTAAGGGCATTTTTCAGATATATCTTGTAACAAAGCAAAAGATCATTCGAGATTTTTCTTTTCCATCTTGTCGTATAGATTCTCTGTTTTACTCGATAAACTATTGGTTTGGTTCAAAAAGTGCATTACGTCTAACTCAAGTCTTTGTTTTTGAGAATTTGTACGCTTTTTTTTACTTGTGAGAGCATATCTCTCTCTCTCTCTGAAGTAATCAATTACTTTCGAGTTGAATCGTATTTCAAAAGATAAGCGCTTGTGAGACTAGAAAAAGCCTTAAAGAATTCAGGAGTCTTTACTAATTTCGATTTTCTAGTTGAAAATTCTGTTATGCGCAAAAGCTAATTTTGTTTTCATATTTATATCTCAGAATAGAAGATTAGTTTGTTGAAAATTCAACTAAAAATGAAAAATCATTCAAGATAAAAAAAACCCGTAGTCAAGACTCTTTTTCGTTTTGTTTAACTTTAATAGAGTTTATATGATATCGTAAAATTTATATTTCATATTTTGCTTATAAATAGTTTTCCAGAAGTCTAAGAAAAATTTCAAATAATTTTATTTTCTATTTGTCATATGAAAAATTTATTTATCTCAATGTTGTTCTCTTATACTTGTTAAGAATTGATAAACACAGAATCAACATTTGTATACATGTATTGACTATTATATCTTCTTGAAAAAGTTGGAATATTTTTATTTTTTTAGAGAAAGAGATTCAACATGTGAAAAATAAAATCAAGAAATAATTCATAGTTGTGAACATTTCCATAACATATTATAGACATAGAAACATAATTTTAAATGCAGAAATTAATTTGATGACTAAGATAAATCGAATTTTAATCAACTCAAAACTTGAATTAGATAATGGCTCGTATCAAGGTCAATTTTTCTTTTTGACTAACGCTAAAAATACAATTGTGTCTTTCTTAATAAAGTAGAAATATAAATTGAATAAATCTTATTATATAATATAAAAACTTTGAATATAAGAATCACAGAAAGAAAGAAATATATCATATGTTGATTTATACATCAATAATACTAGTGTGTTTTGAACAAAATTTTTTCAATGAAATTTTCTAACCTGTTTATACATAGCTCGTTTTTGTTCTAATAGAGTCATAGCTCTTTCATCAACATGTTTACTCATTTTAGTAACTTTTTCTTTATCATCTTTGGCATCTTTTTGCATTTTTCCTATATTCATTGAAGCAAAATCATATTGTCCACCTGATATACCAAATTTATCTTTTTCTTCTTCAATCCATCGACCATGTTTTTCAATAATTAATTGTCGTCGTCGTACAGATTCTTTAACAATATTTTGTAAATCAACAATAGAATGTTTATTTTTTTCTAATTGTAATTCATTATCACGACGTTCTTTTATAAGTTGTTGTTCTTTTTGATGTAATGTATGTATACGATTATTATATTCAGTTAAACGTGAACGTTTTGTTTGTAAATTTGAAAGTAATTCATCAATTTCAATTTGTTTATTTGATAATGTTTTATTAGCATCATTAAGTGATTGTGTATTAGTTTCAATTGTATTACGAAGTGTATCCATGTCAGATGTTAATGTATCAAGTTCAGCTCGTTGTGATTCAAGTTGCATTTCCAAATCTAAATAATATGAGAGAAAGATGAAAACAATTGTGAGCAAGAAAAAAAAAGTTAGATTAGAACGCAGAAAGTCTTGGCACAATATATTCGGTTAATTTTTAGTCAATAAAAGACAACTGGTTAGAATTAGAAATTTTCGAATAAATGTTCAGATTTTGAAGTTTTATGTGAACATTCAAAACTGTATCAATTGGATATTACAATTAGCGAAATTTCATCTATGCATTTCTACTTAACAGCTGTTACAAAAAATACTTTTAAAAATACAAAAATTTTAAAATCTGTCATGCAAAACAAAATGGTACATTTTATTCTGAATATATGTCCGAGGAGAACGAAAAAGTCTGATTCTAATTAACAAATTCTATTTGTAACTAGCTATCTTTCAAAGGCTCAAAAAATGAATAAATATTTTGTGTCAAGAATTTGTCGTTATACGTTAAGTGTAAAACTTGCACGTGCAATGTACATGGTCCTTCTTTTATGTATGATCGTAAGTAATAGATAATGATCGAACAAGTTTAATTAAGAATATAGAGAGTCTTGAAGAGACTAGTAAAATTGATAGCTCGCAATAGGATTAACAGTTTTCTAACAATGAAAAACATATGTTTTAATAATATCTTTCAATTGAATCTCAAGAAGATATCACTCTTTTGTTTAAATATTCTATTATAAATTGAAATGAACTCACAATTTTGTAATAAGTTTCTCAAACTTTTCGACAACTTACTCGAACGAATGAAACAATAGCAAAAAAAGTTGCACAATATTACAATCCTATATGAATAAAGTATTAGGTGTAAAATCATAGTAAATGTATTAGACAATTCATAAATCATGGATGACAACTAAATTTAGTATTATTTGTTTTTTCATCGAACGATGCATAAGAAAGCTTCAGCCTTCGATAATGATTTTAACTATGCACTAGTTATTTTTAAAATTTCACTTAGAAATTCAACGACATGCGATAAATGATCAATAAAAATGAATTACCTTTTATTTGTGTTTGCATTTCTCTTGAACGTTTTTGACTTAGATCAACTTGTTTCTCAGCTTTTTTCATTAATTGTTCAATTTCAGCTAATTCTTTTTTTTTTGCTTCACCTTCATTTTTAAATAATTTTTCTAATTCATTTATTTTATCATTTAAAATTTTTTCTTCATGACGTTGTTCATCGAATTCTTTTTTATTATTTAATTCTTGTTGTTCTAATGTTGTTATTTCTATTTGTAAACGATGTTCATCATTTTGTGCTAATTTTAATTCTAATAATTGTATTTCATTTGTTAATGAATCAATTTGTTGTTGTAAATTTTGATATTGAACA